TGAACTCAGGTTAGAAACGCAGGTTCTAAAACCGAAACCCGGTTCTAACCCAGATTTAGAACCCTGGTTTACAAACCCAGGTTACCCAGGTTTGAAAACCATTCCAACCCTGGTTTGGAACCCAAGTTGAAAGCACCCAGTTTAATCCAGGTAAAAGAACCCAGGTTCAAACCCAGCTCAAACCCCGGAGTTCCGGCTGCATCTTGCTGAAGAGCGCGTCCCGCTGCTTCCCCACTCCATGAATTCGCCAAAACTGGGTCGACGATGCAGCTCCCTCCAGTCCAGCGGCTTGAAGTCTGTCATTTTTGGCAGTCAGCTTAGAACTGCAGGTTGAAGCTTTCGCTTTGTACGGTTTGGATTTGGAGAGGTTTATGGCTTTAAGGCGCGGGAGAGTTTGCAATTTACAAAAAGCGGAAGGTTGGGGGGAGCGCAGCGCCCATTTCAAGAACGGGCCCGAGTATAGGTTTTTGGAGTGTTCCGGAACCCAGGGTTCGAACTCCTGGGGGGCCCGGGGGGGGGAGAACATATAACTCCGGAACTCGTCGTTGAACCCTGGGTTCGAACTTCTCGAACCCAGGTTGAACCTGGAGTTTGAACTCTATGTTCAAACCCTGGGTTCGGGAACTCTATGTTCGAACCCGGGGTTCGGGAACTCTATGTTCGAGCCCTGGGTTCGGAACTCTATGTTCGAACCTGGGGTTTGGGGAACTCTATACTGGAACCCCGGGTTCCGGAACCCCCCCCCGGTCCCCCAGGGAGTTCGAACCCTGGGTTCGGGAACTCTATGTTGGACCCGGGGTTTGGGGAACTCTATGTTGGAACCCGGGTTCTGGAATTCCTCCCCCCCCGGGGCGTTCGAACCCAAGGTTCGGGAACTCCACGTTTGGGGGGGGACTGCGCCTCCCCCAAACCCCCCCGCTGTTTTTAGAAGCTTGCCGATAACAAAGAAAAAGACTGCCAATGACCAGTCCCTGCCACAAAAGAAGAAGAAGCCACACGAAACCGCTTTATGGGCGGTTTTTGCGAAAGAAAGACCAAGCAAAGAAAAAGATTGTCAATGAGGAGGAGTCTTTCTTCTCAAGGGGGCTTCAGAAGGGGCATGAAGTCTCCTACGAGAATGCTAAAGCCGCGAACAAATGAACCGCCCAACCCCGGGTTCTAGACTCCCTCCCAGAGTTCGAACGAGGTTCGAACACCAACAATCACCAAACAAAAGGAAAAGAGCCACACACAGAATCGCTTTGTGGGGGTTTTGCCAAGAAAATGAACTGAGAGCACACTACAATGACAGAAACCACAAACTCAAACGCATTTTTTTTTGGCGTGGGCGGGCCTCAAAGACAGCAGTTGCTGCACTCGGTCCCAGTAAGAACTACAAGAAAACAATAAAGAGCTGTACAAGAGAATCATGTAAAGGTGAAACCGGCCGCGACTTGCAGACTTAGCCAGCAGGGATCGTTCGGCCTATTTGAAGCACAGCTTCACTCAGGTGTCTTGCTGGCCATGACGAAGCGGTTAGTGAACAAGCAACCACAAAGCAGCATGTTCCAGTGGCAAATGCGGTAGAAAATTAAATGGCCCAGCTTCCCAATATCGTGGGTCTCGCAACTGGAGATGCAGAATTCACACCAGGGAGCATGCTGCTGCAGTGTACCAGCCGTGCTGAGCCATCGGCTGTGTGCGAGCTCCTGAACAAAGGCAGAAAATCCTTTGGGGCCCGCCACGGAGTTTCCCAGGAGAGCAAGCATGCCAGAAAGGTGAGGCATTGGGTTGAAGTCGCCCAATGAGCGCGCCGGTGCCACCAACCAGCAAACACAAGCACTTTGATCCAGGCCCAGCTTCCCAACATGGTGGGTCTCGCAAGGGCAGCACAATACGAGCGCAATGCAACTGACAATGCCGCTTGGTAAATGCCATGTTGGCTAACCAGCCAGGTCTTGGCCCCGCATGTACACCAGGCCCAGCTTCCCAATGGTGGGTATCGCAAGGGCAAAAGATGAAAGGCGGGGGCACACGGAGCTTACTCCCCAGAGAATGAAGGGGCCCGGATTATTGCAAAACGCAAGGGCAAGGGCTAATCGGAGCGTGAAGATTCCATGTAGTGTGGGACGCAAACCGGCAGCGGTGGTCGCAGACGCGTAAGCGGGAGATCGCCCAACGGCTCCATGGAGAAGTAAGGCAGTCCCCGCAGCCCAGGCCACCCCAACGCCCAGGGCTGCATGTCAATAGGTGCAGACTGGATGGCCGCAGCGCGGAAGAAGTCCGAGCCCTCGTAAAGCCTGATAACCGTCCTATAGGCGAGGCGGGACACCGAAGCGAGCACTAAAGCCTCAAGATCGATTTGGACAATGGTGGCGCGCACTTGAAAGCCAAGTCGCACGATCAATTGGAAATCGGTCGCAACCCCGAAACTATAGAGAGTGCGCCGCGCCAAGTATGCAGAGACACGGCTGTGATACTCTGCAAACTGTTGCCGAAGAGCGAGGCCCGCAGCCTTTCGCTCCTGCGTACCAATGGCGCAAAGCACCTGCCGAGTGGCAGCTGATGGCGGAGCTCCAAAGAGCACCGGCATCGAATGCACCGACACGTACGTGACGATTGGCGCCACAAGAATCTCCGGAATCGTGGCCATGGCTTGCCATCTAACCAGTGCTATAAAGGCCGACACGGCAGCGAGGATGTGAATGGGTACCAGGCGGCAGAACGCAGACCAAACACTGGCAAGGGCGGGGTACACTATGGCACTGGCCACCGGGCCCAAGAACCCTAACTAGGGACAGGGTCGAGCCGGGCGCCACTGCGCAGTTCGCAGGCATATACACCGCATGGTCGGCATCATGCGGAGGGTCAGTCGGAGTTGCTGGCCTCCCAGCGAAGCAGAGTTGATTCCACAAAACTCCAGAACCGGATATTGCACAATGATTCAAGGGTCAGTTTACGGGCTCGATATGCAAAATGCCCAAGAATATGATATGTATTGGAGCCAGCTATAAAAATCGCTCCCGAATATATTCTCGTGACTGCTGACGTGGCACTCTTTTGTTCCAGCACTCGAAAGGGGCTGTTCGAAAGAAAGTTCGAGCACACGACGGGTTGAGCACGACCCGAGTGGTTGCGTTTCCACGAATGCAGATTGCGGTAGAGAGATTCCGCTGCGTGCTAAGCACCCGATTGCCCCCTTTGGCGTGGGTGGGCGGGACAAAATTTTTCCCCAGTGGCCCGAAATGCCACTTGATCTGCAAAACCGTCGGTGCATAGAAACATTCATAACTTCAACATGCATAGAGAACACTTTATGCAAGCGTTGAAGGTTAGGAAAATCATTCGTGTGATAAAAGCATGCTTTCACACAGAAATTAAAAGTTTGAAATCATGCAATCAATCGGTTCCCGGTTGTCGCCATTTTGAGGGTTAAGGATTACCCTCAAATAAAACAACCTTGTAGTTTAAGTGGAAAGAGTCATCCGCAAGCGGAAACGTGTCTTCCACAAAACTCCAGAATTTCCGGCGGTCTGGGGGCTGAGCGACTTCGAGAAGACCGCTCAGCTGCTGTCCGAGGTCCTCGCGGGTCGGGTGAAACATCCCGCAACATGCTGAGTCATCTAGGAGAGTGCGAAGCTGTGCAGCACAAGTCCATAGCGATGATTCTCAGCGACACTATTAACAAAAGACGAGGCAACATTGGGAGCCTTCGCCACACGTTGAATGGGAGGGAAGTCAGGAAGCCGCAGTCCGTCTGACATGTACCTCCTCTTGTGAAAAGCAACAAATTGGATGTATCGGATTAGCAACGCAATCACATCCGGAAACATTCCGAGCAGCAATTAACAGTTCGGAAAGAAGCTCGAAACGACATGGCCTGAGCAGCAAAGCTACGAGTCAGGCCCAAAAGCTCGGAGCAGCAGGGCTACAAATCCGAAAAGAAATCAAAACTACACGGGAGGCTCTCACGTCACTTCAGAAGGCGTCGTCGGTGGAGCTCAGAGGACCTCGCTTCCGCAGCCCACAGCAGCCGCCCTTGTAGTAGACGAAGAAGAGGAGGAAGGGTGAGCCAGCAGCCCAAACCAGCAGCAGCAGCGCCAGACCAAAGAGGCAGAGCAGTGCCGCTCTCGGTTTACGCCCAGAGCACAGCCAGTCCACACAGGAACCCCTAGGGAAGGGGACAGGGCCTAAACCCGAACAACCCGAAAGGTAACAAGGGCCGTCAAGAAAGGATGCCACGTGAAAGTCAAGAAATCGTGAGGCATCACGCGCGAAAGGTATTAAATGCGAAAACACCCGGGCCAGCACCAGCAGCCCTAGTAGAGGATAAGCATTCGGCGAGAGGCCAAAGCGCACCTCATTTGCACACAGGGTTCCTAAGGGGAGGGAGGGGCCTAAACCCGAAAAACCCAAAAGGAGAGGACCAGCCTAAAGAAACGAACCCACACCAGCAGCAGCAGAGCCAAGCAGGAGCCAAGCCAGCAGCGCTCGGAGTGGTTCGAAGCTCTCACCCGGTAGAAGCGGATGGGCCCTAGCAAGGTCAGCAAAGGATTATTTCAAGAATCATCCCAGAATCAGGGACTCCACCGGCAGCAGCATCGCCACACAAGTAAGCATAGCCGCGCTCAGTAGAAGGGCCTGAGCTCACGCAAGATGCACAAGAGTACCCCGAGGGGAGAGGGGCCTAAACCCGAGAAACCCAAAGGGGAGGCAAAAGCATCGCGGAGTCTCGGAGGCCTGGGAAAACGAGCTCCACACAATAGCAGCAGCACCACGCAAAAAGCAAGGCCGCGCTCATGCATAGAGGAATTAACGCCAGGTGCACACGGGATCCACTAGGGGAAAGAAGAGGCCTAAACCCAAGCAAACCCGAAGGGGAGGGGGCAGGGAGAAAAGTTCGTTCCGCCCGGCACATGAAAGCGCAAGCTGCACACACACGAAAGACATACCAAGGGCAATCAAAGAATTGAGGAGCCAAAGGTAAGTAGTCATAGAGCATTCTGGTGCGGCCAAACTAGTCAAGGCCCAGCCCCTGCGGGCTCAGCATCATCAAGGGGAACACTTTTCACATGTGTGTCCAGCTTCTCGGCAGCAGCTGCCGCAAGTCTGATGGTAGCCAGCTCCCAGTCCCGAGCCTGCTCACACTGCTGATGCCATCGCTCCCTGAGAGAGCCCGAGAGCCTGTTTTGCATGCAATTGCCCGCCGCCTGATCTGCAGCATGGTTAAAGGCGCGGAGCACATCCGCATCGTGATCCGACGAAGGCCGCCAGCGGGGGTGCTTATTGTGCGATGGCACCCAAATCAAGGAGATAGCACAGCCGCGCCTCACCAGTTCCTTCCAGAGACGGCGCGCGTCCCTCAGCAAGAGGCCCAACTTAAAGGGATCATCACCATGGCCCGAGATGGCCGTCAGGGCAGCTTTGCAGTCGGTCAAGATGAAAATGCACGTCTCGCAGCCCTCACTCCACACCCGGTGGACCGAAGCAAAGGCCGCGTGGAGGGCCAGAACTTCCTGCCGATACGGGGATTGATCCTCTGCCCCAGTGCCCATGGCATAGACACAAGACGGATCGCCGATCACCACCGCATAAGCACCGACAGATCGATGGCTGGAGCCATCAGTAGCCGCATAAATCCTGCTCCTGCCAGAGCCGAGGGCAGCACGGAAAGCAGCATCCAAGTCCGCCCGAAAAGCCCCACAGTCAGAGGCGGCAGGCGCCGGAGGTTTCAAGGGAGTCGACTTGGCAAACATGCGCTCCTCCGCCCGATTCGTCGGAGGGGGGTGATCCCGCCGGAGCGCCTCGGTGCACTCGCAAACCCAGGTCACATGCGGTCGCGACGGAGCAGTCGCTCCGCAGAGGCACTGCATGCGCCTATGCTGCTCGTTCAAACCCTGCCCGGCCGTAAAGAACCAGCACGAGCCTCCCGTGACAGCAGCAGCCCGTCTCATATAAGGAGTGGTCGCCTCATGCATGGCAACGCGGTGCCCACGAAAGCTGAAGCGCGCATCCCGCGACGGAGGTGCCAGATCCAGGCCGCGTGCAAGGCTCGGGTCCGGCCTATGAAAGCTCCGCCAGACGCGCTGGCATCTCTGCATGTAAAGGTGCCGGTAATGGTCAAACAGCCAGCCCTTAACCTCAGCAAAGCTCTCCCATCCGACCTGCACCTCACGAGAGATCCCTAAGTCATCACGGCAGGCGAAAAAGAAGCCATCAGGGCGTTCAACGACGCTCCACCCCAATTTGCGAAGGAGGCCAGGCGCAGCAGGCAACAGCTGATCCCAGCGCTGGCCCCGGGCATCACGCGGCTGCTCCAGAGCAAAGGCCGGAGGCTGGCAGAGGAGGCGCCAGGCCTCGCGGAGCACAGCAGAGTCAGCAGCGCACTGTGGCTCCAGCATCCACCCCACATGTTCGAAGATCAGGACACGCGGGGCTTCAAAGGAAAATTGACAGTCAAAAACACGAATCGCAGCATCTCTAACTTGCTTCATCTCGCCTGCCAGTGGCGTGGCATAGGCAGCGGCCCACACCAAGCACGGGTAAACAAGTGATTTCAGCATGAGGGCCCGCAGTCGACTGCAAGCGGTCACCCAGCGCAAAAGGTCCATGCGCAGCAAAGCTTTTCTCAAGGAAAATTTCAGCAAGCCCCATTCATCATTAAAGGAAACAGTGACACCTAAGACTTCAAGGGTTTGCGAAAACTGATAGTTGAATCGGGCAGCCAGAGCAGAGGCCTCGACATGACCCTCCGGCGCCACGATCGCACACTTTGGCAGGGAAATTTCAAGACCACAAGTGGCATCGAATCGGTCGGAGCGCCGAATCGCATGCTCCAGGTCGCCAAGATCCGCAGAGAAAGTCCAGAAGGACCGGTCGTCCAGGTAGACCAGGCCTGAAACCCCTTGCCTCAACACAGCCAAGGTCCAAAGGTGGCTAAATGCGGCAGCAAGGGTGGGACTTAAGGGACAACCCTGAGCTATACCCAAGCGGGGCTTAAACCAGGCATCACTGTATGCACCATCAAGTTGGACGATGCGCGAAGCTCGCGTGTAAAAGGCCTTCAGCAGCGGCCAAAGAAAAGGCGGCGCTTTCAAATGAGAAAGGAGGACCTCTAGGGCTTCAAACTGGATGGCATCAAAGAACCCCGCAATGTCCTGTTGAACCGCAACATTAGCGCCACCGCGCATTGCAGCATTCAGCTGAAGCAGGGCACCCGACACCGACGTGCCCGGGATGCCACCGGCATCCGACGGAGAGCTCCACGAACCTATCCAGTCGGAGAGTTGGGCATTCAAAATCCTTGCTCCCGCACGCCAGACAGCTTGAGAGATGGTTAACGGCCTGAAGCCCCCCTTGATTTTCTTAATCATCACCACACGTGCCTGTGCCCACTGGGCGGGGACGTCACAACAAGCAAGGCACCGATTCCACAGCTGGGAGGTCCACACCCACCAAAGATCAGGCATGGAACATAGCAGTCCCGGTTTCCACGCATCCGGCCCGGCAGCACGGTGCCTCATGGACTGCATGGAGCGTCGGAGAGCCTCTGGCGTGATGTTAGGCACGACCTCCGAGCTTGCGGGGCGCGGCAGGGGCCGCAACAGATCACGCATGGCCTGCATGTCAACCGCCCTAAAGGACGCGGGACAGAGCTTCGCCCGCAGGTCCTTTGCCACAGCTGCAACCGCGACCGCCGGATGTGCAGGGTCGCCCGGACTGGCAACATCCGGAAGCTGACGCTCCCAAGCAAGCTGCTCATCAGCGCGCCGCTTCACAAAAGACCGGGCACGAGGCAGGTCAGCACGCGTCCTGGTGCGCCACATCTGCTTTCTTGCCTCCTCCTCCTGCTGCATGAAAGTCTCAACAAGCTGTGCAACATGTGGGAGAAGAGAGAGCTCATCGCCATCACGGGCAAAAGGCAGGCTGGGCACCTTCAAGCGCGTGGACCGGAGTGAGCGCCTGATTCGTGCCACCAGCAAAGCATCGTTCGTCCGGTGGGAAAGAACCTGAAGCCTCGCACGGAGTCGCAGCAAAAGGCGCAGGCCCTCCGACTTCACAAGCTGCTTGCCAGCCCGTCCCGCCGCACTGTGGGCGACAGGCTCCCAGGAAGACGCGCGAGGAACGCACTCAGCAGAGCACGGCTCACACAGCAGAAGCTCGGCGGTGTCCGACAAGAAGCGCCAAGCCCCGTCCAAATCATTCTGTTCCAAGGCGCTCGCAAAGGGTCCAGCATCAATTTGAGCACATCTGGACTCCAAGTCAGAAGACTGGAGATCATCACGAGGCTTACATCGCTTGGGCCCAACCAAGGGACAAGGAGCATCAAGGGCATACGAGTAGTGTACCCCCAAGTGGTCCGAAAAATCGCACGTAAAGTGATCCACAGAAACCGCAGGCAAGTCACGATGATTAACAGCAAAATCAATGCGACGAGAGCGCACTCCTTGGGCATTGACCGGGCCCGTGGCAGGAAGGGGCCGGCCACGCGCACATTCATCACCAGCAAGCACGGTGCCTTGCGAAATTAGCGATCCTAAGCGGCCTTGGGAAGGCTCAAGGTTGTAGTCGCCCAAAACCACAAACCTATAACCCGAGGCAACCGCACACGCCAAAACCTCATCCACTTGTGTCTGGGCAACTGGCTCGTTGCCGGCCTGGCCATAAAAGGCCACCACCAGGATGGTTTCATCAGTGGCACTCCGGGAGCTCGCAGGGAGCGAAGAATCATCCTCAGGGAGGGATCGCACATTGAAGAGTCCCGCCACGTGCCTGGTGGAAGCAGGACCCTTACACAGCTGGACATGCCGAAAAGGAAAATCGCTGACCAAAGCAACCCGGCTGCCGAGATCCTCAGGAGCACTCAGAGCAACATGCCGGCCATGCGCTTTCCACTGGTTGCGATAGCCGATGCCAGCCGTTTCAGGAACATTGACCTCGGACAAAGCCACAATCTGTGGGGGGCCTTGCCGAAGCAGAGCATCGAGCAGCCCCACCGACGACGTGCCACGCCGGTGAACATTCAAGCACGAAAGTCGAATCACACCGACGACATGGGGGCTCGCAAGGCCTTTTCAGCAGCAGCGAAGGCGAGCTCACCTTGCTCTTTGCGAACAGAGGCAGGAGCAGCATCATGAAGCTTCTTATTGGCAGCAAGGGAGCGCAACCGAATCCACGCCCTCGCCTTAGCAGTGCGAGAAGGGCACTGTCCCTTGATCGACCGATGTTTCCTAGCGATCTCTGCAGAGGGGCACGGCGCTCGGCATTTGCGGCACACCCAAGCCGGGCATATGCGTAAGGGATACTTATCAACAGTATTGGTGTCCTTCCCAGCCTGGCGCGGCCACCCGAAGGCATCAAAGTCCTGAGCCTCCAGCTCACGCAGCACCGGCAGGAGCTTAGCCTTCTGGGCATTGTTGCGAGTGACACTGATCTTTGAGGCCCATTTGGTGGCCGAGTGTGATTTCGCTTCCTTGTTCCACACAGCCCAAGAGACGCGCGGGTGGGCCTGTGTTTTATGCTCCCGGCGAAAGCGGCACAGAGAGTCCTTGCCAAAAAGGGCCGCATCAGCAGTAGAGATGCCTGCCTGGCACCGTTTGCATCTCCAGTACGCCCCCTCGCCATCAGCGAGGTCACGAACACAGGAAGCCTTGCGGGCAGGAGCGAGCCCAAGCTTCTCCCCCGGATGCGAATCCAAGAAGTGCCGCTGATAGGCCGCATAGGCCTTCACAGGATCAGCACACTTGCGGCGAAAGGGACAAAGCCTGCATTTAGCAACTCCATCAGGGAAGGCTCGGCCGCGATTACGACGGGCCATCACAAGGGCAGATTGAGGCAGGGCCCGGCTGGCATGATGCAACCGCTCAGGTTGCGGGGCATCATCATCGTCGCACTCCGGCAAGGCAGGCATTTGAGAATGCACGGAAGCACCAGAGGAGACGGCTCGGGACCAGACCGTCGCAGCAGCACCGCGAGCGCGCTTAAGAGAAGAAGCGGCCTTTCTGCTCGACGCGTTGGTGACAGTCCACACAGTGCCCGCCTTCACAGAGGATGATCGGCTGGCCTTGGATCGGTTTGATCGGGCGCAAGCAGTCCAAACAGTACCAGAGCACTGGGAAGCGTCATCCCCTCCAGCCCTCAGGTCAACGACAGCACCACTCGTAACGGAGAAAACCTCCTCTGGGTAGTCTTTAGCATCCTTAGCTGGCAAAAGAAGCTCGATGTGCCGAGGCGTGTACCATAACACCAGCCTCCTTTTGCGCTGCTGCGCATGAAACGACATCGCACTAAAATTCCCATCGCGTGGGATCACAAGGATGTGGCAATCAAATAAACGCCCGAGAGCCTTCAGCTCGATGGTAGAGGCGTATGCAGATTCCGAAGCAATTAACTTGAGGTATTCCTCAAAGGCGTCCTCCGGAGATGCGGCATTTTCGCGCAATTTTTGTAGAGCCGGCCCGTGGCCGTCCCATTCCCCTATATATTGCGAAGCATATTTTCGTAAGTGCTCTACACAGCGTGCCCTCAAGTCCCTGTGGGAGTACTCAGCCTTCTTAGGGCCCGAAAGCCAGTGGAGGCCACGCGCTATGGCGTGAAACAAACAGGCTCCGTCTTTCGGAGTCTCAATGAGATCACACCCCGAGGGGATTTGCCGATGCGAAGCCGCAACATGTTTGGCAGGGGACACCTCCTTACCTTCATCATCCAGCTCAGCAGGGACCTCAAGTTTAACAGGTTTGGGCTCCAGTGCAGGCTTCTCCTTGGCGAGGCAGGGAGTCGGCGCACATCGCAGAGGTCGCTGCTTAGCTTGCTTAGGCTTATAGGGTGCAACCGTAGCCCACAGCGTGATTTCATTGTCCTTCCCCGGCTCGCTCTCGACGATAGCACTCAAAGGAACCAGATCAAGATCACCGTGTTTGAGCGTAGCTCTGAAGCGATACAAGTACTCGGCGCCAGTGCGCTTATGCTGAATCAAAGCCACATCCTTGAAGGATTGGTCCAGCACCTGCAGCACTTCCTTCTGTCCCCAGGTAGCCGGCACATGAGGGAAATTCCAAACACGCGGGACAGCCTGTGAGGGATCCCTAGGCGATCTGGCGCCAAGGCGTCCGCCCTGGGTGGCAAGACCATAAGGAGCACTCATGCGGAGGCCGCGTTCAAGGTACGCAGTCGGAGCTTCCCCCTTGGTAACAGCAAGCCACTGCACAGTGGAGACAAGCTTGCCGCGCGGCACATCAACAAAAACTCCATCCCGGCCACTGACAGCAACGAGAGAAGACAGCTCGGCATCCAGGAGGCGAGCAATGCCAAACAGCTGCAAACCTTGCTTGCCAGCCTGCTGCTCCTCGACCCAACCCCACGTGTCACTCAAAGTGATTTGGTGAGAACTGGCCCAAGAAGAGGCAGCACGACTCGGGTTGTTCTTCCAATGCTTGAATTTATCAGGCGTCATGTACATCTCAGGCACCTTAAAGTAGACGACCGAAGTGGACGCAGGAACAACTTTAATGGCCTTGGCCTTGTGCCCCGCAAAGCAAGGGACACCACCATCAGAAGGGTCGGATTTGCAATGCACAATCGAGGCTCGCCGAAAACGCAGGAGATCACCCACACTTCCCGGGACCTTGTGAGGACCGTTCGCGTCCAAGGTTACAAGGGTGATTTTATGGGATTTGCTGGTGCCAGCAAGCATGGTGCGAATTCTCGGCAGCGCCGAGGGCTCGACAAGAATGACAGCTTCCAGTGTAGAACCCGGTTTAAGATCGTCCAATGCTTTGGCGATGCCATCCTGCGACAACAACTGCGCGCTCCAATCCTGCCTTCGGAGCTGGAAGGGGCCCTGCGGGGGAGCACGTTGAACCTTGGTCCAGCCCTCAGCATCACGAGGAGGCCGATCGCCCTGCCCTTTGCCTTTAGGTCCAGGCTTGGGTGGGGACGCCTCTGCACTGCCTCTAGCAACACCTTTGGCCGAGCCCTTTGCAGCAGCAGGCTGACCACCTCTGCCACCAGATGCTTTGCCCTCGCCCAGCTCACGAGAGGAAGGATGGCGGCTCGACTCATGGTTTTTTCGCTTGTTACTGGGGTTAGGGTCAGGTTTATGGCGTTTAGGCCCTCGCTCCAGGGTCGGCTCCTGCAGCACAACACGGGGAGGGGTTGCCGGGGCACCTCCCATTGCATTTGCAATGGCTTCCTGCACAGCTTTCTGAATGAGCGCGGTGATCATGGGCATAAGCTGTTCCGTGATACTAGCCATCATGCCTTCAAACGGGTTTCCGCCTCCAAACCTTAGGCCAGTGGGACCCGAGCAGCCCTCAGATAAGCAGGAGCGCAAGATAACAGCAGAGTCCAGATCCTGACCCAAGTTCCCTTGCACTTGCCCGTCATCACCCTGCCTCAGATGAGGCTGCCCGTCAGCAGGCCGCAGTCCACAATCGCAGTTGTGCATCACGCCAGGACATACCTCACGCACACATGTTGAAAGCAGGCTGCTCGGGGCCAAATGGGATATACTCGGACCTTTCGGCCTACCTTGACCCACTGACCCCTGCAACTGCACACATACAGGCGGGTTTCTCGGATCAAACATGTCAGCATAGCACCCGCAACACAGGCAGCAAGGCGTCAAACTACCAGGGGCCACGCGGGATATACTCGGACCTTTCGGCCTGTCTTGACCCAGGGGCCCCTGCAGTTGCGCACCGTCAAGATCGCTCTGAGTTTGCAGCAGTCCCGCCAGGCGCGTCGCAGGCACCTGACACATGCAAGGGGAAACTGCATCGAGCTTGGCACCGTCCTGAGACTGCTCAACGGGACCACAGTCCCCTCGACCCACTGATGTATTGCACACCGACGGCGGCCTGTATTGGGAAGGCCCCCGGAGCCCTGGGTCAGCGACCCCACCTCCTCCTGGCAAAAACTCCAAACCCGGATTACACCCACCGCCTGGGCTCCGGGGGCACGCTCTATTAGGCATCACTAGATCATCCCGATCAGCTGTTGCAGCAGCCCGGACTTCAGGTGCCCAAGAAACCAAAGGCCTAAACCCTAGGGGAGAAAGTGAAGCTTGGTCAGTGCAGCAATGGGGCAGCGCATCGCCCCCAACAGAAGACACGGGTACCCCTATGGGGGAGGACCTAAACCCTAGGGGGGCAGAGGAACCACGGCATGGGCAGCAGCCCCGGCAAGAAGCGTCATCGGCAACCACTCCAGTGTCCTTGCCCTGCGCGATGAAGAACTGGCCGCCACCGTCGCCAGCCGCCAGCGAGCCCAGGCCATGGCAGCAGCACTGCGAGGAGGGAGAACAGGGGGGCTCCGGGGAGCCATGTCTACCACTAGAACTAGTAGCAGGCGCCAGAGGCCCGATATCAGTCTCACTCTTTGCCCTTTCGCGGGTCTTGATAGTGCTGAGCTCCCACAGAACACTAAGAACACGGCCATAAAGGCTCTTCGTCCTACGGTCAGGCTCGCACTCACCATCACAATCGGCACTAGTTAGGCCTCTCAGGCTCTTTGCCCTTTCGCGGGTCTTGTTGATTTCTTGACACACACAATCATCACTAGCTAGGCCTCTAAGGCTCTTTGCCCTTTCACGGGTCTTGTTGATTTCTTGAAAGTCACACACAGGGCTCTCAGCAGCGCAAGACGACGTCCCACACAGCCCAGCACCAAGGTCCAGACCAGCCGCTGAGGGAAGAAGCTGCTGCTGCGGCGCGTAGTAAAGAAATTCCTCGGAGAAAGTGTCCTCAATCAAGTGAAGCCCAAATGCTGCACTTGCCTGCGGCACGTAGTAAAGAAACTCCTCAGAGAAAGTGTCCTCAATCATGTGAAGCCCAAAAGTTGCACTTGCCTGCGTGTCGGAAGCATGCGCACAAGGCTCACTCGCCAAAGGTAGCCCCTGAGCAGGGCATTCATCCCCAGCAATCCCGTGATCCATCCCCGAGGACCAAGAGGTTGCAGCAGCAAGCGGGTTGCCGCTCACACACGTGCCATCAGAGCACTCCATCTCCGAAGCCCCTAGTCGGAGCCCCCAAGGCCCAACTGCACTCCACACCATGGTTCTCGGCACACCACGTTGAGCCAAGAAATCAAAATCCTTCTGGAACAGCTGAAGCTGAAAATCACGTGCTCGAACAATGAAAGCGCTCAGCATCTGCAGGCGCTGAGCCACCCTCGGTTGCGCATCTCGGTCATTGCCAGACGCTTTGCCCCAGCTGCCGAAACAGCTCTTTTCTTTCCCAATCACTTCTTTTCCCGACAAAGAAGCACCATCACTCAAAGCACAATTCATTCGCTTCAAAGATCGCCATAGGTGTAGGTAGAACCCACAATCAAGGCCTCCAGAAGAAGGAGCCATGGCCCGAAGGCACGTGTGGGAAGTGTCAGCCCTGCACTCGGGAAAGCACAGGTTAACCAGCTCAAGGCACGCGGAGCCCCTCCCCACTTGAGCCCAAAACTCCAGAACCGGATATTGCACAATGATTCAAGGGTCAGTTTACGGGCTCGATATGCAAAATGCCCAAGAATATGATATGTATTGGAGCCAGCTATAAAAATCGCTCCCGAATATATTCTCGTGACTGCTGACGTGGCACTCTTTTGTTCCAGCACTCGAAAGGGGCTGTTCGAAAGAAAGTTCGAGCACACGACGGGTTGAGCACGACCCGAGTGGTTGCGTTTCCACGAATGCAGATTGCGGTAGAGAGATTCCGCTGCGTGCTAAGCACCCGATTGCCCCCATAACAAGTGCTGCCACGGAATGTTCTTCGGGAACACCTCTGCACACGCAAGGCCCAGAGCTCTGGCCACCTCATCGCCTTTCCCCCTTGAGGGTCCGTCAGCAATATTGGATTTTGACGGTACTCGAGCGTACCACGCATAAGAGACTCTGTTGTCCTCCAAGCGGCACAGCTCGCGCAACATGCGATCCATGATCATCGACTTGCTCACGCCTTTCACAAGGGCCAAGCGAGCAGGCTCGTTGTCTATCCAATAGACAACTCTCCTGCCCTCCAAGCGCTCCCTGCACACAAGCTTTGCACAGAAGATTGCATACAACTCGACTTGGCAGATCAAGTGCTCGTTTGCTTCGTTTCGCCATGCTTCTTTGAGCTCGGGCGGGAGCTCACCTTGCAACACCCGCGTGAAGCCGTCGGCCGAGTCGATCAGCACGGCTCCTATGCCGGCGAATTCGCCTTCAAGAGATCCGTCAGTGAAGACGTGTACCACCTCCTTGCGATCAGAAAGTGCCACCTCTCGTGGACGAGCACTGCCAAGAAACTCCAAAGCCCGATCGCACAGCTTCGCAAACTCCTCAGGAGACGGAAAAGCTTCAGCGTGAACTATCCTATTCAAGTCAGCGCAAATGTGATTTAGCGACATGCCCACACAGGAGCCTGCCGCAAAACGCAGCAGCCCCAGCAACACTTGGCCAAAATGCTTTGTTATCGACCCTTCGGCTTTGACCTTGCCAAACATCTCCACCAGCCGCTCGATCCTTCCCGGCTTGTTGGAGATCGAGAGCTTTCCAAGGTGGAGCCGTTCCACGCACATTTTTAGTCCTAGGACACTGCAAGAAGCATCGAAAGGTAAGCCTTTGGAACCTGCCCCCGTCTCGGCATATCGAATGCCAAGCAGACTCAGCATGCGGCCGCACGCCTCGTCGGTAGCCTCAGCCATGTCTTCGCGAGCCAGCATCGGGTAGTCATCATAGAAGTACGAGCACACCACGTTCAAGACTTTCGTGAACAAGAAGTGGATGGCACGGCTTATACGGTTAAAGCTAAAAACGCTGGCAGCGGCGCCAAACATTAAGGCGTTCGCCACATACCAGGTGGGCTTCCCCTTTTCATCGAAGATGACTATAACCGAAAGGCACCTATCCCGCTCGCTCACACAAAATTGTTTATAGGCTTTTGACAAGTCCAGGCATTTGACCTTCCAAGGGACGTGCACAGCCAAATCTCTTTGCATCCTTGCCACAGCCAGTGCCATGGCTGTGAAATAAGCGCTGTCTTGGAGCCTTAACCGGATGGCCGTCCCGTAAGCATCGTTAAGATGAGCTTCATGGCCGTCATCTATGGGACGCTTCTTGTCAGATTGCTCAATGAGGAACCTTCTCACGGCCACCCAATCCTGGGTCCCAAGGTGGCGGGAAACCGCTTCCTCGGACTCGAATGGTCCCGAGAGGAAGCCCTCCGCCGTCTCCTCATCAGTGATCTTCCGCAGCTCCTGAGCCTCTTCCATCGAGACTCTCCTGGGATTCGCAAGGATCGCACGCCTCAAGTCAGGGGCTGCTGCCCTCAGGGCATCGGGCGAGAGCTTTGCAAGTCTGATGCGGGTCTCGAAGCAGTCAGGCTTCGGAGCGGACCCCACCAGGTGTGAGCCGTCGCTCACTAGGTCCACGACTCCCATGTCGTCGAAACCATGCTGCGACAAGAGATCACGCAGCAAGAGAATGCGTTTTCCTCGAAGGACTTTTTGCATCCAAGGCGGCTTCGACTCATGCAGAGCCTTCTCCTGCGGTTCAAGCTGCTTGGCCCGTATCTCCATCTTTGTCAAGGCAATCTTTTGCTTAAGCTTAAGCAACTTAGCCTCCGAAGTGAGATTTTCCTTTATGGCCGTCAAGGTGGCCTCATGCAAAGGATTGTTTGAATCCATAGGATGCGGCAGCTTAAGGGCCTCTTTTACCCACACTTCGGGACTACGATAAACCCCAACTGTGACCAGACCTGACCCTACTCCAAGCTCGTTTCCCGCGGGCAGCTTTGGGTCACGCAAGGGGTGAGGGACTAAACCAGAAGAGCCAAGTGAGGGGTCAGGGTCACCCGTACTAGGCTTCGAGCGCGCATCATCACCCAAAGGCACCAGGTCAGAGGGTTTCGCCAGGTCCCCCGTCTTCACCCCAATCATTGGGGCCGAGAGAACCCTCATGCACGACTCATCAAAGCTTGACTTGGGCACTTGCTGGATGGTCGCAAACTCCGAAAGGAGAGGCTGGCTCTTCCTATGCTGCAGGCCCTGCGCCGCTAAGGCAGCGTGTTGCACGTCCAGCGGGCGTGGGCAGAGACGGAGGCCGGAGGCCTCGGCATGGGCGCCGAATCGAGCGGCCAAGGCTTGCGAAAGCTGCACGGGATAAGCAGCTTCAAGATGAGTGGCGAAGATCCAGCCATGCGGCCCCCGCTGAGCCCCCCAGGGGGCGTGATCATGCAAGTGATCGCAACGTGCACACAAGTCTGCCATTTGCTTGCAATTCGTGAGCAAACGCGTGGTCTTGGGCCTAGAGCCGCCATACATGCAATGATCGAACTCCACCTGAAAAGTTCTGTGGCTGAAGCGGTGCCAAGAGGACTTAGGACGGGCGCGGGCCAGAGCAGCAAAAACCGCCCAGAAATGGCTGTTAGCAGGATTCTCAAGTGTGAAAGGCACCGCGTGTTCGAGCGCCCAGCAGACCAGCTTGAAGGTGAAGAGGTACAGGCAGTTTGCCTGCTGCACACGTCGGTATTGCGGGGATGCCTTGTCAAGGCCAGGCAGTCCTAAGGGGTGGCGGGAGGATCGCAAAGGTTTAGGCTCTCGAACCCCTTTCTTAAGCAGCGAGGCGGGAAGAGGGCGTTCCCGAGCGCGGCTTGCGGTGCCGCACGGCGGCGCGATGTGCAATGCATCAGGCGGGGTCGCCCTGAGGCGGTCCATGAGCAGCTCTTGTTGGTTCTCTTGCGTGAGATCCAGGCGCACCGTTGGCATGAGAGCGGCGCGCGGGCGGTGATCAACCGCAAGCGTGGCGAAGCCAGCGGCGAAGAAAGCCCGAGACAAGATGGCGGTGCCGCTGAAGACCTCCACTGCAAAAGGCTGGCGGCTCAGCTTGTGGATAGAATGCTGACACGCGGCAAAACCCAAGCTGGAAGCGAAGGCAGCATCAACGGCCGACAATTTGTCGATGAAATTTGTCGTGTATGCAACTAAGACTACACGGCGGCCAGACCATGGTAAGGTTGCATGTAGGGCCGACCTGGCTGAGAAGACAGCAGGGCCCGGGAGCGTTGGCAAAGCAACTCCCAGAAGCCTCTTGCCATTCACTTCCAGGGGCGTGAGGCCCTGATCATTCTGGACCCAGACTTCGCCACCTGAGTAATCGGACAGCCCGAAAACGGCATTTTGAGCTGTCTCCATATTGTGAGTGTCACGATGCGCGACTGTGCAAACGCTGTCAAGGATGACCACTGCTGAGAAAGAGTGGCCAGGGCACTGCTCCAAAATAAATCGAGTGAAAACTCTAGTGCTCAAAGGGAAAATTCGGCAATTCGTTACGCAGACCCACAAGGTTCCCATGCACCCAAGTACCAGTTCCGAAGGAAAAACCTCCGGCTTCTGCACGTCCGGCAGTTGGCGCATCCTCGTGAGGAAGAAGGTCAAAAAGCTTCAGCAAGTCTACACGGCTAGCCGAAGGGAGTTCCAAAAGTGAAGTTGCAAACATTTCGGCTGGGTGCATGGCGGAGCCCCTCGGCTCTGCAAGCACGTTTGCCTGGCACTGCGACGACTGGTGATCCACAGGGTGCGTCGCAGTCCCTGCGGGGATTCACTGAGTGCTCCGGGCCCTAGTGCACTCGTGCCCGGGGTGGGCACCACCACAGCCTTTCCACCAGCACAGGTGAAAGCCTCGCCCGCACCTGCCCTTCTTCGATACCTTGAACTTGCAGGATCCGCAGTTGAAGGCGAAACAGACGGGTTTATCATTCACCTTGGTGACAGCCCCGTCAGGCACTGTGATCGAGCCAGAGGACCCACGATCCTTGCCTTTCTTTCCCTTGCCTTTGCCTCGACCTTTGGGCGAGTCACCCTTTTCGGAGCGTTTCAAGGGGTTCGGAGGCGAGCTCTGCGCAGGCAGGTGGTTGAGAAACTGCAACACATCGCTGTGATCACTAAGAAGCTTAAGCTGTTCATCCACCGGCTTGACACGGCCCGGGGCACCGGCCAGAGCTCCCAGCAGATTGGAAGCGGCCAGAGTGAACAAGTGACGATCAGCCGCCACAATCTGAGTCAAGGCCACTCCGTGGTAACCAGGAGGAGCAGGCCTTTCGAGCGTCACGAAAAGCTTGTGCACCCAAGCCTCCATTGCTTGGTAAGTGGCAAGGCCTGCAAGATCGAAAGCGAGGCTCCTACGGGCCCAAGCCTGGCGAAGGGTCCACTCGGAACCTGTGTCACAGTTCTCGAACTTCTCAAGCTTTGAAGTGACCTTAAGGTTCCCGTCCGAATCAATCGACAAAGCCTTGTCCGCCTTGGCTGACTGGATTTCTTGTGCCCTCGAGAGGTACTTTCCTGGGGGCAGGTAGACAAGCGTGCCGGTTTCAAGCATCTCCACAA